ATGGTATATAAAAGAGGGTGACAACATGACAATAATGTAATGTGTGTGTGTAGATAGTGAGTAATTAAACTGCAGTCAGAAGTATTGTTGACGTTCGTTGATATAGCGTTTGTTTTAGCACCACTGTTGAAAATAAGTGTATCGTAAAGTTGTATTCGGAAAGAATAAACCAGTTTTATTAAGTAAGGACTTGTGTCGCTAAAGTTTCGTTGGAACGAAGTTACAGAAAGTTAATTAACAAACGGAGATGTAACAGTGTCATATTTTTTCATTAAAAAAAAAATGATATGCAGACCTATATATACATTTAAGTTTTTCTATTTTCAAACAAAATGAAAGACACACAGAATAAGAACCTAGGTAAACACATGAATGTAATGCTATTTTTTACTTATTTTACAGAACAGTTTAGAAACCAAACAGGAGTTAAAGTGAAAGAAATATGAAAATTTATGAATTAATGGAACATAATTTGCACATTCTATCATGACTTGATGGATTTCATGAATTTGTTTCATACTAATACCCTCTTTATAAATAATGTAAATTAATTCTAAATTATTGTCAAATTAAATAGAGTATAAGATGAACCAACCCAATTCAAAAATTTCTGTTAGTGAGTAACAAGCATTTCAGTCTGAAAAAATTAATTACCTGCATTATATTTCATATTTTGATGACATGCACAACTTCTAAAAGAGAATCAGCCTACAAACATATGTAATAAAATAAAGTGACAATACTTTAAGACCTTTATTTACCATTCAAGGTAACTGTATGTAATTTGTAGTAAAAAACCAAATTCTATTAGACACGCTTTCTAGAGCAAAGACAACGTTTTAAAATGTTAAAACTGATTTGTTTAATACTTATATTGAAAGAGAAAGCACACACTCATCAGGTTAGGTGTAAAATAATTTGAATGAAAGAGACAGAATACATACAGTAAATGACTCGGCTATAGCTTTCTTATACCATTTAGGCTCCATGACCTATTTCATTTTGTATCACCACTGTTTAATTTTCATTGTTGTCTTGATGAGGAAAAAATAATGTCTTGTGAGAGATGCAAAATTTTTTAATGTGACTTCTACAGATTCTGAAGCTCTTATATCCATTACTTATTAGTAACTCATATTTTGAAAGGTTCCTAAAGAGATTTTTATTCTTCAGTCTAAGATTAGTGATGTTATTTACTATTAGGCCAACATTTTGGGAAATTATCACTATTAATATATGTTTAATTAATTGCTAACTCTTTCAGAACGGGCTCAGTCCCCAGAACCAATCTCTTTTGTGCTTGTTATAGTTTTCATGCTACGATTTTTAAATTAGTAAGCATATATTAACAAAATTTGGCATGTTATCAGTAAACATTACAATGCTTTCACACGCAAAATATAATTTTTTTTATTACGTCTTAAGGTTTGAAAAACAATGTTTTTCTCATGTTTTTTTTTCTTTTCACATGTTGCCTATCTATCATGTAAAGTAATTCTCATTTTATGGTTAAAAATACTATTATGCATCAGAAAATTTTGAAATTTCACATGTAAAGTCTTTATAATGTCCAGATAGTTATCAAAGATTTCTTAAGAAAAAATCTTTATATTTTATGTGTTATTTTCAGTAATGAATCTATGTATGGGTTTGGTAAATTTAACCGATCTTATAACTACAATAAAAAATTAGGAAATAAATATAAATCATGCCTCTTTCATTCTAGAATGAACACAAATTATAACACAAAAATATAAATGTTTAGATTAAATAGCTTAAATCTCATAACATTATACATTTATATATATTTATTATATTAACCTTTCAGCCATGCCTGGCTAACAATACAAAAGTTACAATGACGCCGCTCACTTGCACTTATGTTACCATATCAAATAACATAAATTGACCTTTGGTCTGTACAAAGTAACTTGTCTTGGCTTTGTTTTAGTAGACTAGTATTTTGCAAAATACAGTCACATTTCAATTATTATAGATTATATTTGTTTATAAATTATTGCTATTTTGAAATAAGTTCTTAAACGTACTTTTCTTAAAACATACAACAGTAACTAAAGAAGTAAAGCAAACAATTATCTCTTCTAGTTACGACCTTTGTACTCCGTTGCTGCTTGACGTTGGTTGATAAGCCTTTAAAAAATTTGCACATGGAAGATATGAAACAAAATAATTTTTTGTAGGTTTTATATATAAATTGAATGACTAAAAAATTATACATACTACATTAATACCATAGAATTCCACTATAATTTATCAAGCTTAGTAGCTAAGACGTATTTTAGTCTAAAAATATATTAAATTTTGAGCAGACTACAGACCTTACCTCTGAAATATTGGTTCAAAAGAAAGAAATAGTGCCAAGCCCACTAAAATGCCTGAGAAAGCCACTAGGGGGAACATTCTGAGCTTCTGATTGGTTATTCATGTCATATATAGAAGTAAGT